CTTTCCATTTGTCGGGTCAATGAAGTCGACATCTACAACTAACATACCGCATAGCTGCACAATTAAGTTCCCGAACTCTGAGGGTCAGTATTTCACAGGGTTAGCTACTATGATTCCTCGCGATTTTGTTACGGCACGAAAGGTGTAAAAACACATAATCGCATCGGCCCGCCTGGTGCGTTCCAGCCTGGATTTTGTCATGCATCGTCGGATTTTGTTGGACGATTGGAAAGCTTTTAATGTATAATTTTCAAAAGAATTATTGAACCGTTTTGTAGACCCCTTGACTGAGGACTGAACAAGATAATAATAGAAAAGGAACATCTTGATTGCGATTAGCTAATTCTAAGTTAGTTTTTGACAAGTAAAGTACGCTGCTGGTAATTATGGTTGCGGATGCTGGTGAGTCTGATTACCAGATTAGACCGTCTGAAAAGTAATATCATCCATTCCAAAATAACTGATGAAAAAACACACATTTTTATGAAAACAAGATGACACAAAAAGAGAGATAGGTCTGTGCCGATTTGTCACACAAATTGCTTAAAAAGTGAAATGCTGAGCCAGGCTTTGTACCTCTCACAAGCATGCACAAGAACATGTATTTTGTGTCTCAGTAGTCAGTCAATTAGCCATTACAGATTACACTGTGGGCCTTAAATGCGAAAACTTCATTTTGTACAAAAAGTCGCGGAAGGAATGGATGGCAGTGTTGGTGGTGAAGCAGTTGCAAATGACACTGTGGTGCTATCCACATTGGATCCTAGCTGCTACATCATTGATACTGAGCATCTGGTAGAACGGTTTTGGCTCGTTACGGTCCTTGGCTCAACACTCAGTACGATCAGCATCGTGGAGAACATTTTCCTCTTCCTCATTTTCATCACTAGCAAGCAGCACCGGCGCAGTCATTCACTGTATTTACTACTGTTGGCACTGACTGATCTGTTCATTAGCTTCACTTACATACTAATTATGTCGGTGAAGGTGCTCTACCAGTACAATGAATGGGTTTTCTTGAAAAAGATTTGGTTAGTTCCAAGCTTTTCCTTAAAAAAGAAAAGCTTCTTTGATGTTTTGAAGCATTGCCAAATACAACTGGTAATGTCTTTGATAAATTCATCTTGAGAAGTACTTGTTGAAGCAGTATGCGGGCCATTTATGTGCAAAATTCCAAAGCAGACCTAATCGCAAGGTTGTTTTTGTGTGTAATTAATTTTCTATCGCCACTTTCAAGCAACAAGAAAAGCCGGAAGCTTAAATTTTATAAGGGTGCTTTCGTTGTTATGCGGTCCTATAATCGCAAAATCAAATTCCGCATGCGCCTACGCTCCATATACCGATCTGTAAAGGCAGTAATAAAAAAATGTTTTCGCTAAACGGTTTCGAAAATCAAACAAGATAGGAAGTTCAAATCTGACAACGATGTGTATCCCAAAGACTGTAAACTCTGCTTTAAAGCAAACCTGTGTTTCGCTCACGTAAATGCGCATTTTCAAATTGGGACGCTACTGGCGCTCTTTTAATTCGGAAACCGGACTAGGTAGAAAGCTGTAATTTTACGAGAACGACTCCCACCCAAATACAGGTCCACATGTGTAAAATGAGCGTTTGTCTGTACTTTGCGTTCTGGCACGTTGAAGTTCAATTCTGTCAACATCCTTCTCTCCGGATGGTCACACGGACCGGAAAACTGAAATTATGAGGGCACTATCCGTTCCTGTGCGACCCCAAAAGCATACAGCGCGTGCGTCTAAATCAGATTTGAGGTTGCAAAATTGCTGGCATTTTTCTAACTCGAGAACCAGACTACGTAGATGGCTATAGTTTTGAGTGGATTTTTGTCATCCAGGTGCAGAAATCAAATGTAAAGTAAAATTTTACGTACGCCTCAATCTCACATGTAGGAAGACCAAAATTCCATCCGCAGAACTGCCGGTATCCTCATCTCTGGCCAACCGGACATGTTAGAAAGCTTAAATTTAGCGAAGGCCACAGTGCAAGATCACCGACTCAGCCGATGGCTCTCTCCCTCGAAGATGAAAGAGACTTAGAAAATTTCCAGAACAAGTGTACATATCAGACCATGGAACATTGCTTGTTCTTACTGTTAACGATTTTACTGTTGTACACAACCGTGCAAAAGCACATGATCTCACCGGCAGCCTGGCATTAGCAGCTGTTTATTACATAAGTGGTTTATAAAAATAAATATGAACTGCTGCGGAACCTTTTCTATATGCATCTGGTTGTTTGCTTATCTGTATGTCCGCATAGTTCAGTTATAAAATCTGGGAGTTTTGAAAATGTAATCTCCTGCTTTGTATGCAAAAGAAAAAGCAGAAAAAATATCAGTTCACTTTGTTCTCTTTGTTCTGATTGGTAGCGATGTGGATTTAAGCTAATTTTATAAATCGAGTGCTGAGGAAACTGTAAATTAAAAATTTTGGGAGATTGTCGAATTGCCCAAGACAAACACTGAAAGCTGAATCTTAATCTTTAAAGAATCCACTGCCTCAGGTTCAATGTAAAGCAAATTTTACAAACTCGGAATTGGGAAAGTTAGAAATTTGGAGTTTGTGGAGTTTTGGCTGACTGGCTAGGGAGTGATAAACTGCTCAAAGTTAAAAACTTTCTTTTGCTAAACCAATCGAATTTTTTAAAACTGTCTAACACTGGCTGGAAATGCCTATTGCAGGGTAGCCTACGTAGTTCCGATGATGACAATGTCGCACGTTGCGCTTACTGCGTCCTCATTTCTTATTGTGTTTGCTACTGTTGAACGGTACTGTATCACAGTATCCAATCGCTATGTCGAATTTCTGCGTGAAAATCGTTGTTTTATCGCTCTGATGGCTGTAATAATTGGCGTTGTTACCAAGGGTACGCTGCTGCTTGAGCTTAAGGTTTGCTTATTCTAAATTTCACTGTTGCATAAAAAAAAGCATCAAAAGGACAAGTTAGCTACATTCAGGATGCTTTGAGGGCAGGAGGGTGCTCTTCAAAGGAACCCACTCAGTGCTTTTATGCGTTTTTGCATAATATGCAAATGCAAAAACACATATTGCGACGACCCCGGCATGTGTGTTTGTGTGTATGTGTGTGTGTGTTTGTGTAAGCGTCAGTCCGGGTATTTCAACTCCGCACCCAAGCAAGCTCCGACGCCAAAATTTTGCGAGTGGGTTCCCCGGCCAAGTGCCACCCCAGGA